TAGAGGAAAAGTCCTCTGCCCCCGTCGGGGATCGAACCCCAGTCGCCCAGCCCGTAGCCAGTCACTATACTGACTGAGCTATCCCGGCTCATAGTTTAGGTGCATTTAGAATCAAATTCTCCAGTACAAAGTTCAATATTGGGCAACGCTGTTTAGGGATATGATAGCTGTTTTTTCTATTAATGATACGAAAAGCACACAGACTTACCGCATGTTAAACCATTTGATTCGACACTGAACCGGTTTCATTCCCTTAAGTTTACAGGCAGCGTGTCACCCATATGAATATTATCGTCTCACATGTGACTCAGAGGAGAAAAAATCTTGCTTAACAAACATCTTACTCCATCCAACCTCTATAAAAAAAATCAAAGGTCTCGTTTCACCAAGCAGATCTAACTCTGACAATGGGAGTGGCTCTACGCACTCAGGGTAAAATGAACGCATTCGGAGGTAATGCTAGTGCGTGTATCTGTCCATACATGAACTTCACATTTAAAACGCGTGGAATTCTGTAATGGAAATATGCACTAAAAGCGAAAACACGTGCAACTGCTTTTGTGCATAAAGAACGAACCTTTCAGTTTAAAAGGGCACGGCTATTCCAACGTTCTGCCATCTACCTGCAGTAAGGACACAGACGTACCAATTCTGGTGGCAGGATCTACGTTTTAACTCAAGTACAGCTTTGGTTATGCTGCTTAAGTTACCTTATTGTTTAACCCAAGGTAGAATCTTCTTGACACAATGAAAAGCGCCTAAACTTCCTGGCATCACGTGTTAACACGTACTAATTTAAAAGAGATTTACATGGATAATTTTACTTCTTACGTCTGCTAAGATGGCAATCAGCGTTTATTTTCTGGAAGGAGAGTTGGCCCTTTTTCCACCAAACTTTGTTCTCATCAGCGGCCAAAGGCATCTCAAAGTAATGACAATTGAGCAAGATTACTTAAATGGGTCAGAAGCGTCAAGGTAGGTTAGGTTAAGTTAGTTATAAAGTAATGTCAATAAAATTACACTAAATACACTGAAGACGACTGTAGGCATATCAATAGTAACAAAACCAATTATCACTATTTTAAAATAATTTAGACGTTCCACTAAATAGTTTTTACTGAACGTGGTTATTTCAACGTTCATTCGCGTCTTCGCCATCACCTGTGCCATTTGTAGGTTTTCATTCTACTTGGGACTTCCTTGTTCCTTCTGGTAAGAACCTAATCGAACGGATTTCGTGTTTCTCCTCTAAATGCATAACAAGTTACAAAGTAGTCTATATATCAGCAGCTCCTGTCTTATAGTCCTAACATGTGTGTTTGATACAGCGGCATAATATAAAAAAACTGACGACGTACTAGGTTCAGCATGGGAGAGAAAAGAAACACAGTTTCCTTCCAGACTTGTCTTTCCTTGTTACTCGCAGTAAATTAAGTTTTCTTACGAACTACATAACTTTGGTAATTGGTAGAGGTTTACAGAATACGCCAAGGCTCACTCGTCTTAAGTAGTGCGTTCTTTATCTGCCATGGCGCATATCACAAACTCCGTATCGCTTCCACGAAACGCTGGGCAAAGGTGGACGTAGTTTAAATAACTCAAGTACAAGATCTGGTCGCACACGTTTCTGCCTCGAGGCACGCAAAGCCAGAACGTCACGACACGGATTCACGCGAGGGAGCTGGCGCCAAACTGCGAGACCTCACAGATTTCAGGCTCTAGTAAGATTACATAAAAATGTAAACTGCTGCCTTCGACCGCAAAGACTTCAAAATAAATTACCTCAACTCCTACTACAAATAGGTAAGCCACTACTCAGAATACTAAATAATGTCATGCACTATTAATTTATTTCCAAGGGGCCTGTTTTCAATGTTACAGATTGTCAATGAACCAGAACAATCATATTTAAAGCTATAAGCAATTTTGCACTTAAAGGCCTATCCTGCTCCAAAAGAATCATACAAAAATATCGAAGATTCGATTTATAAAATGCAATATGTTTTTTTAACTGGAGATGCTAGGACAATTCATTGGCTTGCAAGCGTATGGCTTCCATATTACGCTTCGTTGAACGCAATTAGTGGATTCTTAAGTTCTTAGAGAGCTGAGGGCGGCGCAAACCAGACACTCGCAGGAATCGAGACACGCCTTTCTTTACAGAGACGATAATAAATTTTCTCTGCATTTCAAGCGATTAGAATAGGTTTTCCGATCAATTCATGCTACGTTAAAAGTCATTTAACTTCATGTTTCCTTTGTTTCGCGAAGTGTCGTTTGTTTTGTTTTGATGTCAAATTAAGTGAGACGTTGAAATAATCAAAACCCAAGAAAGAAAATAAAATTTGGATAAAATAAATTTAAGAAGATAAGTACCAGGGGACGTTCGTCTGCAATTTCCAGGCAGAACTAGTAGCGAGGTTAAGCCGAACACGTGTCAATTTGCAACCCTTAACTTCGGAGTCAGGCTATAATTTAAGAGCACATAGACGCTCGCTTATCTATCGGTGTAAGTCTGTCAACAGACTATTTAAACTTAAATAACGACGAGGTTATTCCTTTCAAAGACGAGGCATGGCTATTTTATAATTTTCCCGTGAACAAGCTTCAACAAAATCTGAACTGCTCCCTGCACTTGCGAAACTGAATTGACTAAAGACGCCACAGTGAGACTGTCTCATGTTTTAGCGATCGGCAGAAATTCTGCTACACAGTTCAATGTTAGGACACGGTGATTTTTTTTTTCCGTTCCTATGCGATGAATCAAAAGGCAAGAGGCTTTGACCTCACTCAACTGGGATTCTTAGAGTCCCCATGCAATAAAGGCATGGAGATACAGAGAGCAACAGAACTTCACTCCGGAGCTAATGCACCAAAAGGTATTGGAACCACAACATCACAGGGGCTACAAATAATGCCACATGTAACCAGAAACTGAAAAAAAGGACGGGGGGCCTGAGGAAAGACACGGAACAGGATAACAAGCAGAATTACGAGTAAATAAAGAGACCAGCGCAGTAACCAACAAAGAACTCATTCGCGGTTTACGTCGTGATGAAAATGAGGTTTGTTGTTAAGTGGGTTATGGCACACAGCAATCCAGGAGGTACTTAACCAACTTTAGGAGGATCATTTGACCTCCATTTTCCACTCTGAAGTCTGGTGTGGCACTGCTACAAGAAGTTTGTAACACATCTAGAATGCAACAGACCTCAGCATTATATATTATCATGTTTCAACTTCATTCGCCCATTATTTCAAACAGCTTAGCGTGCCGATTGCAATAATATTAAGACAATTCGTAATAGGCATGAGCTAGGTAACTTACCGCTGGAGGGACTGAGAAAAACCCACGAAGAATCGCAGTCAGGTTAGGCGATTTCCGAGCACACGTTTGAAAGTCGTATCTTTGGGAATACGAATCAGGAGTGCTGACTGCTCTGTTGTGACATCAGTCTCGATTTGCACTTAACCTCTGTCTCGTATTTAACACGCGCCAGTAAGTGTAATATTGCACCTACAGTCATCAGAAACGAGAGTTAGCTACATGAATTAGGCCTAAAGAAAGGTTAGGTTATCAGAGCCTGCAAATACTCACAATAGTGCAACACCGTCCTTATTGTCCATGAAGAGGGCTGAAAGGTCTTCGCTATTTTAAGTTCTGTTGCAAGTAATGGTTGCAAAAGGGCACCTGTTAGCTGTCAATATATATATATATATATATATATATATATATATGTATATCCGTCCGTATGTCGAAGCTAGAGAGCAGCTGAACGAATTTTATTGAATCTAATATTTTGGATTTTTACTAAAATCTGTCGAACAATTTCAAACTTTGGTTAAAATCGGACAACGATAATGGGACCTCACCAGTTAACTAATTGGGGAATCCCCCTCGTCGTTATTCTACCACACAGCCAAGTAGCAGTTGCCTGACACACAGACCTGGACATTCGCATTATAAGCAAAACGCGTAAACTGAAACGACAAGAATAGAGCAATTTTTTCCCCTGTAACAGAAAATTCAGAATGTCACTCATACCGGACAGTTGCAGTTTCGCAAAAGCAGAGCCACGCGGCTTTTTTGGGGGGGGCTTACGAACTGAGAGGCTTACTACGTGTATAACGGGATGCCTGTAATCAGGAGGTACCTGACACAGATCTCGGCTCGGTTGTCGCTGGGTGCGACAACGTTTTCATAATTCCCCTTTGCCCTCTTGAATCTAACGCCCGAATGGTACAGAACCTCAAAATTATACACACGATTACATTTACATTTTATTTGGTACCTTATAAAAATAAGCGGTTTGAACATTGTCAACACTTAACTAAGAATCAATTCTGCACGCGTATGAATCACAGGTGCGAAGTACATGGGCAATAAGGGACTCTTGCAACATTTTGTTTTGGTACAGACAAGAAACAAGAAACGCGAACGAGATGCTGGCATTAAAATCGTTGTTTAATAAATGTTTAATAATTTAAATCCAAGTCCAAGGAGGTGACTCGTCAGAATGAAAATCTAGTGATTTTCTGTGGTGCAGGGAAAGAACCGCTTCAAAGAAACGTAATTCCTATTGGCTGGGGCCCTTATCACCGGCCAATCAAAGACATTTAAAATGAGGATGCGTGTAGATTCAGCGATTAAATTATAAAACAACTGGAATCCATTATTCAGTGTCCAATCTGATATTAAAACAGTGATATCATCGGAGAGGATTGTGCTGGTAATTAATCACAGATTTAACGAATATTAATCACCGTTTCCTCTTATTCAAGGCATTTAATATAAAGTGATTTATTTTCTTTAAAGCTTAAGTTACCCGTCGATTAAGGCTAATTCGTCAATGTTGTCTCGAAAATAATTACTTAGGTCTTGAAAATCGATATAGGACTACTGTAAGTTTAGAAGTATTACGTTTCGCCAAGGTCTGTCGGTCTCCTCGGGCATCTGATGCCAGGTGATGGCGTTACTCAAAGCGATAAGATCGATACGTCTCGAGTTCGGGGTCCAGAACCGAGATGTCCTAAAACTAAAGATCTTCTCGCTTTTGATACACGAGGGCGCCTTAACTGATCATTAACCAAACAACTTCCAACACGTACCAAAGCCAGCTGTTCTGACCAACTTAGGCCGCTGAATATTGCCCTATAAGTCAATTTATTCAATTTCAAAGGAATTACCACTTTTAGTAACATTTCTGATCTAACTACCTTTACCATAATTAAATACAGGCAACTCTCGGTTTACGAACGTTCGATTTACGAACATTCGCCATAACGAAAGTCACATTTCATTCAAAAATTTCTTAAAGTCGCCAATAGATAGAGTTTTTTAATGCTTTAAAATGGCTGATAACATATACGATACGTATCGTAAAAGCTCAGGAATGGAAGATACGTATAACGAACAACGTCTTGGAACGGAACTAGTTCGTAAACCGACAGTTGTCTGTATCTGCCATAATATCACTGCGTTAAAACTGTCTAACCCCAAGCAATTTAGTGGATAATGGTGAATTACAATTTTCGTATTGTCCGATCAAAATAGTGTGCATCTAGAAACCGTGGTTGTCCCTCTATTTCGTTTAAAAATACGTAGGTTTTTGTGCGATCGCCATGTCTCATTCACGTCACGTGTTTCTTTTTGCAGTGAAACAAAATTTCTGTGCTGCGTTCCGTTCTTGAAAGAGAAACATTTCGCTGATGGCACGAATACTGTGTGCGCATTTCACGAAACCCCTCCAGCACCTAATTACGGCAGGCATTTAGATTAAAAACTTGTTTTACCAAAACCGAGCTTGTTTCGCCGGACAATCTCATCCTCGTCACACTTCCAACTTACGTTATAATAAAATAAACAAGGCAGACGTGGAGCCTGGTTTTGTTTATTGTCACATCAAACAAAGACAAACTGTAACCCTGCCAACGTCAACAAAACAACACAAGTTTTTTTATTTCTAAACGACATACAAATGTATTCTGGGTGACACTTTCAAACTGCAAATAAACAAGCCGTTTACTACACGTTCGAAATAATATCTTTTAGTAAAGTTGAGAATACGTCGCTTTAGGCAGACTCCGTTCAAAATATTCTTATTAATATTCAAAACTGCAACGCTAATGAATAATAAGGCAAAGTCGTTTAAAACCTTCAACTTCTGAGACGATTCTAAAACGAGTACGCCCGTTACTTGTCACGTGGTCTGTTTTAAAAAGACTGTTTGTTAGGAAAATCCACATTCAGTTACGCGTCAATCACACTGTAGGACTGATAACATCTGCGGTGTGGAAATAAACACTAGTAAAACTATATTATGCTGCTAGAAATATACAATTTGCTTTTCAATTCAGTAATTCAATAGTGGGTAGTGATTATTTTTACAGGGAATTTAAAAACAAAAATTTCAGTGTTTTATATTAATTAAAAATAAAGATGAATAATGTTTTGGTAATTAAACCCCAGATGCCACCATATCTTTTCCCGTCTTCTCCAAGAAGAAATTGAGGCTTCCTCAGAATGGTTTTTAAGCAAGTGTGACCAAACTTGAAACTATGAAACTGCAGCTTGGAAGCGGCTTCGAATATCGAACTTTAAATTGAAGTTCGCTTTTAACATCATTTTATGAAGCTGCTTATTCACTGTGCTACTGAAAATCTAATATGATATCCCATGTTTGAAAGCAAACAATCTCTCTTTGCACAAAGTGAATAGGTTAACTAACTTCGGCGAAGTACGCAACGTTTCCAGGTTATATTTTATTTACAACACCCGGTGTTCGCTGCACTACGTGTGGCCTCTTTCGTAGTTATTACACAGTGGATTTCCAGCCCTGTACCAAGAAATGGAGAAACAATGGTTTCCGCTACGGTCAAATATATTAAGCAAAAACGCTCCATGAAGTCCGAGGAAACTAACTTTCCGCGTTAATTATTGTCGTTAATCATTCTCCTCAGGGATGGGGGCAAAAGAAATATCGTTCGGACATCAGAGTTCTGGCCCTAATAACAATCTTGCAATCTTCATACGCATCAAGACGTCTGAGAATTTTTCCAAGATTAAACCTTAGCAATTTTACGAAATATTACTGTCGTTGACAACAATTTCATCATTCCTTGGCATTCACGAGGAGGACCGGGGTTAATTTGTGGTCCCGAAAGTTGACAACGTCATTGAAGCTTCTCGTTGTGCCCCAAAACTTATCCTTACAAATTTCTGGACATCTCCTATAATTAAATCAGGACTACTTTTCCACATCCTTTCCAATGCATCCCAGATAAATCCATTCTATGATTCAGTCAGTCCACAAATTAGTGAAACATAACAAATTTTTTGCGTGATTACCCACTGGAATAGTAAACCTCCTACTTGTGACGTCAGAGCTTCTAATAGCGGCCTATGGACAGCAGAAATCAATTAAAAAAATGAAATTAAGAAAAAAACTGTGTGGCTGTAGATTGTGGACACTCGCAGACATTGGAATTTATTAGGTTATTATTGTACCACTTTTATTCAAACTGCATAAGTGCACTTCGCGCTGAACATGATCAGAGTACGGATTAATAAACTTTTCAAAGCGAAATTATAATTTTTCCTGTTTAAACATTTACTTTCGCATTTTAGGACATGAACAATAAACCAATAAAATTTGCTCGGCTGCTATTTTATGGTCAAGGCTGACGGACGCCTAATTAATTCCGTTTTAATGTCCAAGTCTTAAGTCGGGTCTGTTCGTATTTCTTTGCGACTGATAGCAAATGACGACTACATCACGTTACATAATCGATGACATTCGGTAAGAATCGTAATAAAAATAAACTACGTTTTATCAGAGTATTAACAGACTCTCGACTCTTTACAGCTCTCTCTTTTCCTACGTACATCCAGTTCCTTGTTTCATCCTGCAGTCGCGCTTCTGAAACTCAATTATACGTTGCTTGATAATAAAATCGTTTAACTGGGGCTGAGGGCCACTGCGCCAG